TTGTACATAAAACACCAATTAAAAATTATATAATGTAAGTCTAAGGGAAAAGGAGACTCGACCTAGGGACATTTAAACCTATAGGGACACTCTTGATGCACCAATCAAGTCCAAATCTCCCGGTCTCACTGTACGTAAATCCTCATCAGCCAAAAATAATGGTTGCTGATATGGTGCAACATTTCATACGCGCAGTAAAATACGCGAAGATGTAGACTCTTTTTTTGTGTAGCGCAAACTTTGGCCATGGAAAATTAGTGAACACGAATAATAAAGCTTGTATAATCGTGTGCAAGCGTTAAAGCTTAATTTTCCTAGCGTATTCGTGTGAAAGATAAATTAAAGTGACACGGTTTATGAAATTCTGGTTTATATTTGCGCCAATAACACAGGCCAACAGAAACGACTCTCACGCAAGCAGCATCACACTCAAAGTAACGCGAGAAGATAAAATGACATCCAAAAATTCACTTTTACTTACACATAGCTAAATCCAGTCTTATTTTTTTACAAATCTTTTTTCAACTGAACCAGAGAATCTTTGGCCATCCTCAACGTCGCACGGAACCAAGTGTAAAACATTTGCAGGAAACCTATTCAAATTTTCAAATAATCACTATATCCTACGAAGCATACAAAGTTTCTCGTATTTACAACAGATTCTTTTTTCTCGAATGAATGCACAAAGGAAACCCTGTTTTCCATCGAGGAGGACTTTGGGAGAAGGGAAATAAGTTACACTCCAGTTTAAAAACTTGTCATGAAGATTTCCCAAGAAAGACAAACCAAAACTCGGGTCACTGTTCAGCACCGGGAACGAAAATTCGGAATCCCATGAAATACTCCAGAGCAACAAAAAAACCAATCAGTCATTAAAAAAAACTGAAGTGAATTTTCCAAAATAAGATCCATCGGCTTCGGAAAGGTGTCTTGAATTCATTCTGTGCATTCGAGGAAACAAATTCCGCGGTGATCGACCCACACAGCTTTCGTACCGAAACAAATAATATCGTCTCTCGTATGATTTAACAGATCCAACCGTGATGTTCTCTCGTAGAATATCAATTGAAGGTGTCTCAAATCTCGTTCTTCCCCTTCTGCTTATATGTGGAAACGTCGTTTAGTTTGTTGAGGTAGCTTGTTGGTTTAGTTTTCCAGACAACAAGTGCGAACAAGCACTTCGCAAACCGAGTATGGGTCGCAGTTTGACGACGGGCGACGATCTTCCAAGTAGCCCTTCTTTTCCTCCGCGACTCCTCGAGGAATCCTGATGCTTGTACCTCGGTTTGCCACACCTTCAAAAATCAAATTCAATCGAAAAATGAATCAACTTGAAGAAAAAAACTCCAGACATTGTTCATGCGCATCGGTTTTTATTTTTAAAACATAGTACAGTATAAATTTAGAATAGGTTCTCTGAAAATAAGTTTCTGAAACCACTTGAACGAAAAAGAAATTTGTCTGTGGACCTTGGAACCCGACAAAAACTTGCTGAAAAACGTATATAATGTCATCTTCTTTAATTAGATGCCGAAAAATATTTTCGTGTAATCTCCGCCATATTTGCCTCCGAAGTTTTGAATTACAAAATATTTTCAACGCAATTACGTAAGGTACGTAAGGAATTGGAAAATTAGTTGAAAAGTTCAGCATAAATTCCCTATAGTTGGATTTAATGCGTCAGTACGTTAAAAGCACTTCTTGAATGCGAAAACTAACGCATTGTAGTAATACCTGGTGCCAAAAAAAACTAGAATGCAATTAAAGCGCGTAATCAATTTTCACGCGAGACTTTATTCGATTCTTGAGGCTCACGAAGAGTAATTACGTTATTTCCTACCTTATTTATGGTGCCTTTCAAATAGACCCGGTACGAGACATTATGCATATAAATTAAAATTGAATGCATGAAATTAAAATTTTTAAAATTCGAAGTTCTCTTCGTTGTTGGAGGAGCACTATAGTATTGAATACCATCAATAGCATTTCATGACCCCCCTTTCAAAGGCGAATCAAGCAATCAAAGTAGAGAATAATTATAGTAGATTAAAAAATTAATCTAAAAAACCACGTTTACAAAAAGCAAAAAATAACCTTAAATGTGGTGCACATCTATTTCATTTGTATTTCACTTCTTCCCANGGTTTTCGCGGAAATTTGAACTTGAATATTCCCAAAGCTGGGTTCAGAAATTTTTGGCACACAAAATATTCACATATAACAGAACTTTTGTAAAAGGTTTTTCAACAGGGTTCGTAAAAGAACAGATTAGTTACGTGAGATTCTTTTGGCTCAAGTCCGGAAAGAACTTCAGCAAAATTAATTCGGAAGATAAAAAGGGGTATTGTTCACACAAAGTTTTCTCGAGTTTTCGTTTCAGGTTAAGTTTTCAACGTAGAAGGATATCTGAAATACTGGATGGAGAGATATGACGTATAAAGTCGTACTCAAGTTTTGAGTTCAAGTAATAGATATTTTAAAGATTATAAAAGGGGTTTCCAGAATTGGATGTTTGAAATCACACAACACTCAACACACAACGATTTTGCTAAGTCCGAAAAAATATAAGAGGTTTCGAAAATACAACGCACGCAAAAATAATCCGCTGACGTCCTGAATTTGACTGGTGTTTGTTGCGCAAAATTCGGGGGTTTTTATGTACTTTTCTTCCCCTGTTTTGGCACGAATTTTTGAAGATGGAAAAAATACCCAGGTGTTCAAAATTTTGAAACGTTTTTAGAGCGCCAGATGTTGGCAGTTGACAACAACTTTTAGTGCTGTCTTCCGATTTTCTTGAACATGTTTTTTCCCGGTGCCGGGTGTCGTACATGTTTTTCCCGGCACCGGGTGTTGTTCTTATTAGCTTGGAAGTGAGGGGCTTTTTTCCGCAGTAAACTAATATCCTCAAGGAATCGGTTTTTCTGGGGAACTGCAAAATTTTGGGCAGTTTAGAGTTGTTTTCCCTCTAGAGATAAATTGTTTTACATGAAAGACTATATTTTTGCCCATTTTACCAGCAGATGGTAGTGTTTGGATTTTTGTTTCTTAGTACGTTTCTCATGGGAAGGGAGCAATTTTCTTCCTCTAAAGGAGCTTGCCGATTTTTACAATCGGCTCGTATTGCCCCGATTCCCGTGAACGGTTTTTTCTTTCAGTATACTTTTTTCCTTTTGCTGAATTTTTTGTCTTTGGCTAGAATTGCCCCTGTTCCGGGGATAGTTTTTCTTTTTTGGCGTGCCCTTTTTTCTCCCTTTCAGGATTTTGTGACCAGCTCCGATTGCCCCGGTTTTTGGGGAGACAAATTTTCTGACTCTTGTCTTTTTCGGCACATCCCGAGATGTGCCAATTAAATTACAAGTCGACGAACCCCTCTTTCCCTCGTGGCGGCGCCCTTTGCCACCAAACAAATTTCGCACATTTTGAACGCTTGAAATTAAAAGTGCGCAGGATTAAACCCGGAAAAGTTTTCCTCATGCTGTCGTCATCTCAATGCATTTCTCCAATAGTATGCCTTATTACCTCTGAAATTGCATCTCTTCATTTTTTTTTACTATCACGCTCAAATTCGAGTGCTATTTCAAAACTGAACCATATATCTGAACCAGCGCGTTACCCACAGATGTCGCATCAATCAGAGGTAGCACTGGGCAATATAATACTGAACGAGTCGTTATAAAATGAGTCATCTTACTATGAGGAAAATTTTCGTGGGAAAGAATCTCTTTTTACATTATTATTCTAACAAAAGCTGTCCATATTTGATGCCTTCTGGGAATTCCGAGTCAACTGCGGGTAACCATGTCAAGCACCCAATCTCATCAGAAGCACCTTCATCTTCAACAGGAGGGGAGGAGAATTTTATAAAAATAGCAAGGACCAAACATATTTTGAAGCATAGATCAGCAGGTTACCCATCCTTTTTGGCTTGTGAACCGTTGAATTTTAATAAGTTCTTTGTTGGCCATGATATTCTCAGAAAAGTTTTCCACAGACTGGCGAAGTTCCACACAATTTTCAATGACCAGCACAACATTTTAAAATACCTGCCATACAGTACTTAACTTTTATTGCAAAAGGTAATTTAAGAATCAATGAAGCATCTGTATTCCTCTCCTCAGTGGAATATGTTGAAAAATAGACAGCTGGGCTTCAACAGAAGTTTCTTAGATTGGAAACTTAAAATGATATATTTCAGCAGGTTAGAATACTGTATGCCTGAAGTATTATCAAGAGAAAAGCCAACTTTTTTCCATCAGATGATTTGAAGTGCCATTGTCTTTCCAAAATTTGAATTTCAATTACAGACTCCTCTGGTCCACAGACCACAATTTGGGGAACACTGCACTACAGATCAGTGTTCCCCAACTGTTAACATTCTTTTTAAATTCAGAAGCGTTAGGTGCAAAAGACCATGCTGCTTTTTGCTAAAATCAAAAATGACCGAAGCAGCTATTTAGTGGAATGTGATCAAGAAATTAGAAATGTGGGCTTGAAGAAAGGTCTTTAGAATGAAAAACAAATCTGAATACCTTATTTGAGCTGGTGATAATATGTCCAAAGTTTCATTAGGAGGAAAGCCAACTCTTTCCAATAGACAATTTCAATTGCTGTTGTCTTTCCAACATTTCAGATAATGATACCGGACTTCATTGCTCATCATTTTTGAATATCTTATGTTGCAGAAAATTTTTTGTGGACCAGCAAAAAACTTCTGTGGACTGGCACTGGTACGAGGACCATGGGTTGGGGAACAGTGCGAGAGATCATCATAGCAACGAGTATAGTTTTTCTCTTTCAAGTTTGTCAAAATGAAATCCATCAGGCTTTATACAAACCCGCAGAGAAGTCGTGGATGGACGAGGTCTCGTGTCTGCCAGTCAAGCGCCTCTCGTTGTCCTTGCCCTGCTTCGGGTCATAGGCCTTGATATGCCTCACGTGGTGCCTCGACAACTTGTCGATCGCCTTTTCGATTTCCCTTGAAGGGGGAAATAAAAAGCACGCATTTCGCGGTTGACACAACCCAAGGGATGTGCGAAATCAATTACGTGATGCCTCCGTCTTCTCGCATCGCCTTGGTGGAGAAGTTGGTGTGCGCCCCGGCGCCGTTCCAGTCGCCCTCCATCGGCTTCGGGTCGAAAGTGACGATGACCCCGTAGTCCTCAGCGACCCGATGCAGCAAATAACGAGCCATCCACAGGTCATCGGCTGCCTTGATGCCCGCTCCGGGTCCCACTTGGAATTCCCACTGGAAAAATGAATATCGCCCATTACTAAAT